TAACCATATGTGTTCTCAAACAGAACTATTGAAAAGAGACCCAGTGAACGCAGGCCTTGCGGGATACGTCTTATGAAAACGTGCTTTCGTAAGCTGGCCTTCTAGATTTTACCCTGGTCTTATCAACATACTTAGCTTGAGAATAGGCCGTCAGGAGCCGCCATATATTGAACGTAGGTGCCCCGCAAATTGTTGGATGCGCAACCCGGAATTTGGTGGATTCGTGCAGCAGCTCCTGTCGGGAATGCCATTGGCGTCGGTTGTGAACTTTTTCGTGCACAATTGGACTGTTGTATGATGAAAAATGCCCTCGGGCGAAAGTCCAGCCTGATTTGGCGCCGTACGGTGACCGAATCGTAAAAATATGTGTTGTGTCCCAATGAGTCACCGTCTTGAATGACAGCGCTCGTCTTAAAGTGTCATACTTAACAGCACCACTCTAACACATGCCTCTTGTTTTTGTTGCATTCGTTTGGCTTATGAGATAAGAAAAACATTTGTTGGCGGTCGCCCTGGATTTTGGCACCGCAAGCGTCCTGAATGCCTTTGTGCTAGCATTAAAAACAAGTTTATTTTTCGCTTCGGGCGAGGAAATCAGATGGCGTTAGCGTGCATATAGTATATCAAATTATGTTGTCCTTACTCTAGATACTTTAAATTATTACGATGCATTCATATGCTCACATATTTTTGTAGCACAATATTTCCCATTTTTGTATTCCACGTTTTGCGTCAAGATCCATGAGGATCACACAACCTTCGCTCGTTCTTACAAATCGTCTTCAGTTTTAGGCTTCGATACCAAAGAGCGCACGGACAACCACGAATTTCTCAATGCGTAAAAGAGGACCTTGACAGCGTATCAGGCCAGGGCAGTTACGTTTACTTTGCTGTGAAAATAGGCCAACAACTGATGTTTTCCATTTTATGAAAGAAATATGTCCAGTCTGGGCGCCATTACAGCGCGTCCTTCTCGCTCTGGTACGGCGCCATTGAGGTAGGCCAAGGTGCCATTATGCTATGTTATGCTGATTGTCCACTGACAGCGCCTTCATAGGGCTGCAGTTGGCGCTGTATGTGGAAAACATCGGAGGGCATGCTGTTGGAGAAAATAAGTGCATCTAAAACAGTACACGGTCACCCATGAAACTTCAGCGTTAAAAAGAGGATACTGAGGGCATGTTAACACGGTGCAGACAAGTCTTTCAATTGCCAAAATATGTCAAAAATGGGTGTTTTCCATTTACAGAAACGTGTTAAGTCCAATGTGAGGGACATTGCGGCGACTTTACTCCTTGCATCTTACCATGTCATCATGTAGTCGTAGGTGTCATCACGTTGACTGCACACTTTCAGCGGATTGAGAAAACCTAATGTTGGCATTGCATGGGGAGAAACTGCGAATGCTGCCTCCATATATTCTTCCGTGGACATTCCAGGCTCAGATGTGCTTTCAGATGTATTGCCTTTGATCATTCTAGACTCAGATCTTCGTTTATATTTATTCATTTGGAACATTCTAGCTGCTGTAATAGTTTGTTGGCTTCAGATTTTTCTAAAAAGAGCTGTCTTTTCATAAAAGTACGACCTGCAGCACCGTTTCAGGCCGACTGTGTATCACGTTTGCAGCAAGTGATATTAACTTAAGAGCATGGTTGTAATTTCCTACTCAAGGGAGCTTCATTTCCCCAAGCTTTGAGCAGAAAGGGGGGAATGCGGAGTTATCCTGAAATTTTTATCTCCAAAGGCATCCTCTGTTACGTCCAAACAGGCCCTGATTGCAAAATTTTGTGCCTAAAAACGGCCCCTCGCGGAGTTTTAACTTGAATGATGTTCCTTGCGCGCCCGGAGGTCACTGGCTACGCCATTGTGCCTCTTCAAGTTTAGAGCACAAAAATCACTTCAGAGATCCTCCGGAATCAACACGAGCATGGGTAGGTAGTGGAATAGAGGTGGTTACAGGAGCCATTCAGAGAAAGAGATGGTAAATATGGGTGCTCACAGGGAGCTCAGCTCATGAGACGGGACTGTCGAAGACATCTGGCCCTCTCTTGAAGACTTTCAGGCTGTGCGCTTGCCCCGACCGTGGAAAACTCGATGTGTTCTCTTCGTTGCTTTGCCTATCTGTCAAACTTCTAAGAAACGATCCCCGAGGGTCGTTAGACCTTCTGAAAATGATTGTATTGGAACAAATCCCATTACAAGAAGAATGATCTGTCTTTGTCAGAGCACGTTGAACTTCGTTGTCACATACAGGGCCAAAGCTAGGTGCCAAAGCTTTCAGGACCCTTTAAATTAACTTAACAGCGCCATTGACCGTGTGAGGAATTTCCAATTTCGGTAGATGTCTACCTACGGTGCCAAAAGCGCTAAATCCATCAGGTTTCTGAGGATGGGTTTTTTTCTTCGAAGCGGCTTGCAGACCATAGTGGTGCTTAGGTGTCAAATGAGGCGACATGACGGTAATTCTGTATATGTGTCTTACCAACTCCATCCATATCGCTTGCAAGAATATTCTGCCCTCATTTCGAAAAATTGCAAATTGCTGGTGCCAACATTACCGTCCGGGGAGCCGAAGTCCAGTTCGCTTACTTTCTTGTCACTCCGTTGATCTCTTTTGGCGCCCGATTATAAAATCCCTTCCACAGGCAGGCGGCCGCTAACGGGCGGAGAGCATCCGAAATCCGCCAGTAGGTTCTAGGCAGGCTGTACCGCGCGACTCTGACGTACCGCGGCACAGTCTAGTTCCAGCCTTAACGACATGGCGTAGAGAAATGGAAGTCTCGGCCCGGAGCGTCCAAAACCGCACGCGTCAACGTGGTGTGCATACCTACGCGGGGGAATCACTTTCGAAAATCGGTTGGGATCATTCAGCCAGAAAGACTGAATTAGTCTACCTCAAAACCTGATTTATCCCCAGATTTCAGCCGCTTGAATTTGCGCTGTCGATGATAAGAAATGCACGATTAAAGGAATGTGAATTGTGAATACATGAAGGAAGTGGAAATGACAGGCGTTTGCTGATCATGACAGGTTAAGACCAAAGCAGATGAGCACGCCTCACGATAACGAAGTGGTTGGTTACGTAAGTTCACTAAAGCTGTTTCTCAGATAGTTTGAACGTGTGTTTGGCGAAATTTTGACTTATGCGCAAGAAGAGCTCAAGTGGAAATTACAGGCCTTGCTAACTTTATTTCAAAGTTTGTGCGGCGTAACGCGTTAAGCGGCGTAACTTCATGAACAGTCTACAACTTATCGCTGCCGAGCTGGGATTCCCTTACCACATTCATGTCAACACGATGACAGGACGTGAGAAATGGACCCAAAATGCGCGCGGTGAAATATTTCGAATGATGCACAACCTGATTTTGTGATCATTTACGTGACGACTGAACCTTTTTCGGAGCAGCGCGACATGGCTACACACACCTCTTCTTTTTCCACCCACCGTCAATCCTGCCGAACGCATTGGTGAGCGCCTCCGATATGGAGCGGTCCGCCAACGTGTCGAAGCAGGCGCTGAGTGCGCATGCGCAGGCGGCCGTGCCGATCAACTCCTCGAGCACCATGTTCCAGCCGATGACGAAGGCCATGAACTCGCCGACGGTGACGTAGCTGTAGCTGTAGGCGCCGCCAGAGGTATTTGGCACGCGCACGCCGAACTCGGCGTAGCAGACGCCTGGAGCAAGGTCGTGTCGAGGTCAGTGACATCGAAACCCTTTATTGGTTTAGAAAAAGGCACAACAAACTCGTGTCCTGCTTCATTTCTTTGCAGCCCGTCCCGTGGGGCTAATACTAAATCATGCCAGTGTACGTACTTGCCAACGAACACACAGTGTGCAATGGGGTGGGGCCGCCCCTTTACCCCTCCCCTACCCCGAAATTTACCGCCCTTGCACAAGGGCAGCCCGCTGACGCGACACAGGAGGTCGCGTGCCTGCGCTTAAAGCGGCTTCAGCTGCGGCACGCGAGAGGTGACGGTCAGAGTCTGAAGTGTGACTGATCGTGTGTCGACAGAGATCGTGTCGATGTGTCGATCGTGTGTCGACAGAGACAGGAGTGCACAAACTCGCCTACTTGCCTACAATGTCAGTGACAGAAGATCATGTGGAAGGATCTCCTTGTGAGACTGACTTTCAATTGCTAGTTATCCCCCAAATGAGATATTTTATGAATTTGGAAGAATACATTCCCTCACAGCACGTCAACGAAGATACAATTCATTTTAGTAGCCACAACCCATTTCCACTGCTGGGTATCGCCCGTCAGCTGACGGGCTATCTCATGGTAATCTCATGATAATCTCATGATGCAACCGTCACCGGGCTTCTTTCGAGCTGCTTCCTGAGTCAGCCCGTTGGATTTGCATTGGCTTACAAGACAGGCCCGTGGGCAGCGTGAAGGAGGCGATGTAGCGAAGTTGGCGGACGTGTTTCACACACGGCGCACAAAACGTTTGAAAACCTGATCAACCAGCATAGCAAAATCAACTTTGAAGTCTGGAACCCTGTGAGAAAGAGGATGATTGCTCCATCACGGAGAAATGCATGATGTGACTATAAAGGCCGCAAGGTTCAAAGAAAACTTCGGAACTATCAGCGGCATCAGATATCTGCGCATAGTAGTGGAGCCGTGGTCCTACTTTGTGCTGCTTTTGGAGTTGGTGACAGGTGGCGCACCTGGGTGCGATCAACTACTGGTGAGACGTGAAGTATGAATTATTTTAGGTACACGGATATTGATTTAGAAAGCGGCGCTGGTCATCGTAATCTGTCGTTGCTGAGCGCTCTGGCTGGAAACTGCGTTGCCTTGTTTGTTACGAGCACATTAACAGATGTTTTACCGCCGAATATCTTGTGCCGTCAATACACGTGGCGCATGGATGTGATCAGCATCGTCATGTTCCGTACGTTATGCTTGAACAGAGCCAGTTAGCATTTTGAACAACAAATATGATTTAGAAGGCATCATCAAACAATATCATAGGTTTAGAATGCATCAATTCATTCTGCTCTGTTGGCGCAATTCCGTTTTTAAGATCACAGATCGAATTGAGAAAACTTAAGTGATAGATGCATACACATACAAATGTCGGTATGGTGATATTGGTGTAAATGTTGGGAAGAGAATGTGCCCATGATATCGTGTTGTCCTGGTCTGTTTTTGTCGCGTTCATTCTTTGCATTTAGATGACTAGACCGGTAAAATACACGCTCTCGTTGTTCCCTGCCCTTCTTAAAAGAATGAGGGGATCATTTTATCAATGAAATGAAATGATTATCAATGAAATCATCATCATCAATGAAGGAAGAGATGCGATCATCATTTCAGTATTACTTTGAATGACACAAATAGGGATGAGACAGATGGCTATTTGCGGGTGTATTGTAGGAAACAGCTCAGGGAGTTTGTGCAGCTCTGGGCGGAGAGTCGATGCCACTGGCTGGCCGTAACCCAATCACATGTTGACAGGACAGCAGTGGTGTAGCCAGGGTTCCCCCAGGAGGAGACCAAATTGGGGCACAAAAGAACCTTTTGGCTGCGAGGGCCTCACTTTGTCACTATTGTTTTAGGACCAGGAGGCTTTTTAGGCTCGGGAATCTAATTTTGACGCCTCGAGGGCCGCTTTTATGTTTAAGAAGACCTCTGGACGTCTTAATTTTCAAAAATACTAGGTCTCTTGGTCCTAGTGGCCCCCCACCATCTCTAAGATAGGGCTCCAAATCCCCTTGGCTACACCATTGCGCAATGCAAATAAAAATCACGCTGTTTCCTGCATTCTAATACATAAGAACACGTCCTACGCAAGTCGCCAGCCTTCCCTCCTCCCCCCCCCCCCCCCCCACCGACACTGAGCCAAGAAGTTTACGCTGGATGTCGGGAGATTTCGCAGCAGTTTAGTCCAAGTTCGCAGCACTTCGAAGAAAAGTTGACATTTGGCTTTCCGCCAGAAAGATTTGCCTACGTGTCCAGGACGCACGTGCATAACTAAGGTGCGTGTCATATCTTAACCACGCGAATGGGGAGCCACAAACCGGCAGGTTGGCCGAAGCGGTCATCATTCTTCGCCGTTCTCTTTCCGCCGGACAGGGCCAGTACATCACACGGCGTCATTATCGGTCCCCGGAACACACCGTGCGACCCATGGGACCAACGGGTGAGATATTGGCATTGGGGGTGTGACGCATGGTCTTGCTGGTCGTGTGGACTGCAGACCTCGAGTTGTGCGATATGGATCTCGGCGTGCGGAACATCGGCGGTTTAGCGCGTGTGAACTGACCATCGCGAGACTGTGGAATGCCAGCCTGGGTCCCACTGAAGCGGGCCCGCGAACGTAACAAGCGGGTCCAGCCTGCCGATGCAGATGGCCGTTCTCGTCGGTGTCGCACGTGACCACCGCAGACACGAAACGTCACAGTGCTGATGTGCATAGCGCCCCCGGAGGCCCACACGCAGTCCGTACCGGAGAAGATGGAGGCGAGGGCGGCGATGGTGAACGAGAGGATGACACCGGGGCCGGCCACGTTCTTGGCCACCATGCCGGACACCAGGTACATGCCGGTGCCGACACAGGAGCCGACGCCCAGCGAGGTCAGGTCCAGCGTCGTCAGACATTTCTGCCGGCGGCAGAACGTGCGGGGTCATGCCATGCACGAGGCCGTGCCGTCGGCGCCGCTCCGGCGTCGTCGAAAATGTCCGCTAGCGACCGAGCACGTTCGGTCGGCGCCGGAGGAGTAGATCTCACACAACGCTGTAGGACAGGACTGTTAACACGATGATCCATATGACACACATATCCACACATTGTGAAACGTCGTGCAGTTGACAGTTGTTATCAAGTTGACAAGCAGTTATCCTGTCCGTTGGGTGTCACAGGCAGCAGCTGTCGCGCGAGAAACGTTGGAATACTTTTTTGGGGGGGTCATGGTGTTTCATACAACATCTATAGAACTCCCAACGCAAAACCTCGAAAAGTTGACGAGCAAAGCTTCTCATTGTTTTTTTTTGGGGGGGGGGGGGCGAACGGTTTGTTACAAAGGCGCAAAGAGGAAAGTGCATTTACGAACAGTACGGATGCATTGGTGACGTCACGACAGTGCACGACAGACAGACGACTCCAACAATAATGGAGTGCTAGGCGTGAAAAAACTCATACCCTGCGGCGTACAGTCCAGTTTCCTTCAGACTGGTCTCACGATGCTTATGTCGTGTCACTAAGGAGTCCGACCCAATTATATCACTCAAGGATCTCCTGACATTTTCGCCACTCAAGGAGCGCGTGGACCCTGTTCCGCACACCGTGAATGCCAGTCACATGGTCGGCTCGGAGGGTGCAAAGGTCACGGGACAGAGCGGCGCGAGCCAGCAGCCGACATCACTGGGTCCTGCAATATTACAGCGGAGGCATACAGGGGAGTGCAGTATGTGCGCAGCATTTCATGCCTGGACACTGGTGGGCCTGGTGAATGGTTAAAACACTGGGAGTGCTGGCGTGTACCTTTCAGTCATCAAAGGCGGGAGCACACACATGCTAAGGTAATGGGTTCGGTGCATGCAAGCTGGATGCCTTTTAGCGCTTTCTCTTGTCCTTCAAAATACGGCCTGCAGTGGTGAGAAAAACGGCAAAGTCAACACGCAACATCAGCATGCTATGAAAAGTGGATGCGCGGTGGGGTTTGGGCATGCAATGGCAAACATGCCATAGCAACGTGGTCGTCACACGTTCCAGGTTCGGTGATTTCGTGTCACGTGGGAACGGCAAACGTAACACCACATCCTAAAAGCATCACCGCTCGCAGGCCGCGTAATAACACCCCTCCCGCGTATCGCACTAACCATCGCACCACCCGCACCGCACCAACCATCGCACCACCCGTGTCCCACCATCACACCGCCCGTGTCCCACCATCACACCAACCGTGTCCCACCATCACATCCCCCGCGTCCCACTACTCGTACCTCAGCAGCAACGGCACCAACACCGCATCTTCCCTCCTGTAATCGTGTAATTCGTCCATGGCCAACAAACACCATTGCTCTCGCCGGTGTCTGCTCTCTCGCAATCGGCCCATCGGTCCATAGCCAGCACACCCCTACCCTGCTGGCAGTTTCTAATCCCCATGCCGCACGCCCCGGCGAGATGGGAGCCAGATAATAGTCGGCGCCATAATTGCCGCCATCAATAGTGTACTGCAGGTGGCGGCGCGGCGCCGACGGTCGGCCGCTACCTGCGCCTGGGGCGGCTGCTGGGGTCGGCGACACGCCGCCTGGGCGGCCGCTGGGGTCGGCAACACGCCGCCTGGTGGGCTACCGGGGCGGCAACACACCGCTTGGTGGGCCACCGGGGGGCGGCAACACACCGCCTGGTGGGCCACCGGGGGGCGGCAACACACCGCTTGGTGGGCTACCGCGGCCGGCAACACACCGCTTGGTGGGCTACCGGGGCCGGCAACACACCGCCTGGTGGGCCACCGGGGCCGGCAACTACACCGCCTGGTGGGCCACCGGGGGGCGGCAACACACCGCCTGGTGGGCTACCGGGGGAGGCAACACACCGCCTGGTGGGCCACCGGGGGCGGCAACACACCGCCTGGGCCACCGCGGCCGGCAACACACCGCCTGGTGGGCTACCGGGGGGAGGCAACACACCGCCTGGTGGGCCACCGGGGCCGGCAACACACCGCCTGGTGGGCCACCGGGGGGAGGCAACACACCGCCTGGTGGGCCACCGGGGGGCGGCAACACACCGCCTGGTGGGCTACCGGGGGGCGGCAACACACCGCCTGGTGGGCCACCGCGGCCGGCAATACGCCGCCTGGTGGGCTACCGGGGCCGGCAATACGCCACCTGGTGGGCCACCGGGGGCCGGCAACACGCCACCTGGTGGGCTACCGGGGCCGGCAACACACCGCTTGGTGGGCTACCGGGGCCGGCAACACTCCGCCTGGTGGGCTGCCGTGCCCGCCACAGGCAAGCACGGCTCCATGCAGATTTCACCACTTTGTATTCGTTCGAGCCCTACCCCTTGTCCCTCCCCAAAAATTTCGGATTTTTAGGCCTGCGGCAATGCGCAAACAATAAGCCTCAGTCATCCCAAATTGTGGCAGAAAGCCAAAGTCCTTTAAGAAACGCTGCTCCTGACAACTGACGGTGTTTCATGGCAACGCAAGAGTTGGTAATACAAAGCCCAAAATGAAAAAAAGTTTTTCGCCGGTAATGCTGCAGATATAAAATAGGGACATTCCGGTCGCGTGCAACCTGCTTACGCTGCCGTATCACAAGAACATGGAATGCCACAGTATAGAACACAATAATCGGAGTATGTGACGCAAAAATGACTCGGCTAAGGGGGTGACTCAGGAAAACAAAGAACTTCGACTTTAAATTAACGAGACACCTTTGTGGGGTTCAGGTCATGTACCTCACCCCTGCGCCAGGGTACCCCCGGCATCAGGGTACTAATAGTGAACTAGTCATGGGTGATCCCTCCCCAGTGTGTGCCCCCATGTCTGCCCCTACCCCTTCCCCACCAAAGCGCCGGGCTCAATCTGCGCCAAAACCCGCTACAAGCATGCATCCCATTTTGACTATGTTTCCTTCGGCATTCCCTTGTGAGTCTTACGACGCCCGCGCCTCGTCCACTCTGTACTCACTCGCAGCTGGCCTTTGTCTTCCTTCTTCTCAGCCAACGCTGCTGGGTCCTTGGTGCGGATCAGCTTGGCGAAGAGCGTCAGGCCCCGGGACTTGAAGTCCATCGTGTTCGGCTTCACGAAGTTCATCTGCGGAGGATTCAGCTCAGTCACTGCCGGGGCGGCCTGGTCACAGCCGGGGAGCTATCACACAATGTAGCCCCGGGACTTGAAGTCCAACGTGTTCGGCTTCACGAAGTTCATCTGCGGAGGATTCGGCTCAGTCACTGGCGGGGGGAGCTATCACACAATGTGGCCCCGGGACTTGAAGTTCATCGTGTTCGGCTTCACGAAGTTCATCTGCGGAGGATTCGGCTCAGTCACTGCCGGGGCGTCACAGCCGGGGGAGTTATCACACAATTAGCGGGATTTAAGCCATCTGCTCAGGACCGGAAGCTCAGTGCAGCAGTCCCTACGACACCCACGCACTCACCGACACTCTACACGTTCTGTGAGAGGCAGTATCAGGTGGTGATTGATAAGTTCAAAAGGAGCTACTGTAGTGCCTGACGGCGCGGCCGGCGGGCCTCCTGCCGTACTAACTGCCGTAAATTGGCCCCCGTCCAGACGCGATAACTCGGACCAGACACATCCTCTCCAGGCCTGGCAAACAATTGATACCTGCAGAGGTGACTTTCTTCGAAACTGGGTTATATACTTTCTCGAAAATGGATCGCATGGATCACGGCGAGCCGTGATAGTCCACCAGCTGCGCTGTTCTGCCCACGGCGTTCGACAGGGCAGGTCGCGACGTCCTCGTCCCAAAACTGCATTCCCGAAGCAGGAATTGATGCCGATTGGCTCTCGACGTGGGCGCCGTCACAGCGGAGACAGGGGAATAACTACCGTTCCTAGCTTTATACAATTTACCAGCATATCTATGAGCGTTGCATGGAAGGAAATATGTCAAGCCCGCTATGCTTTTCTCCCGAACATTTAACTGTGTCGGAGCAATGGTGCAATCCAAATATCGATGCCGTGACATGAAGGCATGCTAGTAATGCGTAAAACGGACAGCCGATGGTCAGGTGCAAGATAAATAGGAAATTTACCTTCGTGGGCACGTGGTTACCGAAATAACGCGATTGACCACCTCTTGAACTGATCTCGGTTTGTACAGGTCCGGGTGGCTCATACGTCAAACAAACACTTCCAGACGAGAGGCCTTACGGGTATGCCTTTTTTCCCCAATCCACCCCCACCCATGAGGTTGAAGCTTCACCATCCGCTGCTAAATCTTAATGAGTCACCTCCACGACTCTCTGACCCGTTGACATTCTCTTAAGGCTTAGCTCTAAGTTATGGAAGGGCTAAAGAACGCTTCACATTTTTGATTTTCTTTTGTCGATTGTAATCACGATGAGGATGAAGCCAACTGCAGTTGAAAGAGGCAGCAGCAGTATTAACGTGTCTGAGGATTTGTTTAAACACTTTCTAGGCATTTATTGACGCTTTACCTACACCACCCTTGGTGACTATAAGCCTACCTTAACCGTGAAGGCGATTATTTCAAGTGAAAAACAAGTTGCTAATAAAAGGATGTCCACCCGCTAGGTCTAGGCTTGTTTTTGTTTCAACGTGTCCATTAACGTCTCGGCGCTCTCAGATACAGATAACATATGTACTCTCAGATAAACGAAAACGGTATGTGTCCATGCACATTTAGACTAACAACCAGCAAAGGATTACTTAATTCAGGACGGCTGCCGCTTACTAAACATGGATATAGTTCCTTATCAATTCGGGGACGGAGCACCAGACCCAAGGTAGGCTTCAACCTTCTCCCAGCTTTGAGAATAAAGCGGGCCAAATCCCGGGAGAGCCTTGGTTGTCAGCCTATTTTGAGGGTGGGTTGCGTTTTTCACCCCACAGTCCTCAACTCATTCGCGAATCCATGCCCCTACTGGTGAATAATACCAGCATATGTAAAGCCGTTGGGGCTGCACGTCGTATTATTTGCTCGCGCCATTGCATCCTGTTTTTGTGATAGTCACGTGGCCGCTGACTCTTGGTTTATATTCAAAGAAGTGGTGCTCAGCAAACTTTGCACAAAAAACACTTCAAACGCAAATGTCGTCCTTAAAAACGAAACACAGGGGTCGGTGACCTCCTAACCCGTGCTTGGCCGGGGGAAGGTGACTTCCCCTCCTACGGTATTTCGAGCGCAAGCAAAAACGAATGCTTGCAGCAGCACAAATTTTTCAGTACCAAGCCAGCTATTAATTTGGCATCGTGTGTGTCCATTTGGGGTTTCGACTGTACCGAAAAAAGTCACCAAGGTAAGGTCAAATATGCCGACCTATAACACACATTGACTGCACAAAACGTTCTTGTGGGTCAATTGCCATTGTTCGAACTTGCTATAGTAATAGAACATGATGGTACGTACGGTTTATATATTTGATATTTTTTAACAGGCGATATCAGTGCTCTGATGTCTGTTTAATTTTTGCCATTTTTCGTAAATATTCCGAATTTGTACGGATTTTTGTGCGGTTTGGTGTTTCTTTATGATGAAAAGAGTACTAACTCACGTGCACAAGTGTCATATGACCACAGAGCGCATCACCCTGTCATGACCTTGTCATCATGACCTCCCAGGTCACATGACCTACCTCTACAGGCTCCTTTTGCAAAACACATGCCGAGATCACAGCAGGCAATTTCCTCAACTAATTTGGATGCAGAATTCGACTACTCCACTGAAAACATGCTTGATACCATTGTACTGCACCATGGGGTCGAGATAGGTCACGTGAGGATATACAAGGTCAATGGCCTACGTTGTCAGCAGCGGACAGGCTAGATTAACGAGTGCGACGCGTTTAAATACCTCCTTGTCGTGTCTGTAAAGCTGGTGACGTATAAAATCAGGTATCTGAATCAGGTACCTGTTCTCAGCTTGGTACAAACACATTGCCTAACATCGGAAGGACTATGCATAATGTAGACAAGAGTTACGCGATCTTGAGTGCCAGTAAATGTACAGTCCACTATTTTTGCTCACACAAAAGCATTGTACTAGTGACAGGCCCGGTCAACACTTGACATTTTTTATTTGGATGGCTTATAAATTTGGCTTAAGTTGACCTCAGGTGACCTCTAGATCAGCATAAAATGGTATTTGTGGGCTTGGGATTATTTTGTCCCACAACTGTAAATGAAATAGCCTTAGCCAGAAACGCATTACGAAAAAGTATCGTTCTTGTAGGCTACCGGTAGACCAATTTCGAACGGTGATCTGATCTGACTTGACCCTTTAAGAGTGACCGAAATGGTCGGAATAGACTTCCCACAGTCTCAACGCGGATTTTTGTGTTCTTAGTGGCCGCCTTCACATTTTAACATAGCTTTTATCTGCATCTATCAGAATGACTATTTTTGACCTCTCGTGATTTCTGGTAACCTCACTTAAGACCTTCCCAACGGTCCCTTGTTTTTCTCACGCGGCGTCTGAAAGTTGGAGATCCCAGGGGTGAAGTCAACTTCCCCCGGCCGGGCGCTGTTGCCCCAGACCCCAGGCCGGGCGCAGGTTAATTACCACAGAAACGGAATGTAGCAAGGCAAGCAATGGTTTGTGTTATTGCTCTTTTGTTGCGTTTTAGGGTATTTGACAATGGAGCAAAAACAAAACGAGCACAACGCATTATTCTTAGCTTGTCCAGAGCAATGCAAGCTTGGAAGATCTGAAAGGTTCTTAATTCTTTAACAGCGGTAAAAACGCGACTGTGCGATTGCAGAAGACGTGATAGTTTAATGTATTCTTTCACATTGGACAATGCTCACCCAGGCTGCTTACAACATTCTGACCACTATGTTTGAAAATATTACTGAATGTGGCATTGTAAATGTCAAGAAAATAATATTACAGCCAGTTTGCTTATATTCAACGGGAGCTTTCGGGGCAATATCTACCCTTATTCAGCCTTGGTAGGACAACGATATTTATGAAAACAGATTTAGGCACGCATTTAAAAAAAGATAAAATGTCACATGCAATCGACAAAGGTAATGGTAGGACCCTCTGAGGTAATGGGAGCAGAATGACTGTTTTTTCATTTGAGCCGCAGCTGAATAGTGCAGAATGTTGACAATGAACACATGCAATGCATTTACAATTTCGATACGATTGCAAAGAACCTCATCTGAATGTTGCCCTGCCGCATGCTACTTAACTGACACCGCGCATGTATCTTAAACATGCACATATTCTTTCCACATATCTGAATCGATTTAATAGCAAGGCGTGCGGCATGTCGCAACACTAAAAACAAGATCACGCAGACGTGGGCGAATTTTCTAGTCTAAAGCCCGCCATCGCACCTCGTATCACACACTGGCCAAGCCTACTGCCCTTTTACAGTCCTTTCATTTCAAATTTTAAGTTATTGTCGTTATTGGCACCCCAGTTTTGTATTCAGAAGGTTGTCGTTGCACGCTGCAGAAGTGAAAATACCTTTCTTAATTTTTCCCTTTAGTTTATCTCACAATCTAAAATACCCCCGTCCCGAAAGCTCCTATTGAATGTAAGCAAGCTGGTTGAAATATCACGTTTTTTTACATTCTGGCTACTACCCTTGTGACCCTGAGGATTTTTCCATCATAAAAGGACCACTGCGGTGCTTCATCCCACATCATCGGATACTTTACCGATCCGAAAAGGGATAAACTTATGCTCTCAATATGAAATAATAAGCAACAAAACTTATGCCACGAACATGTTCTCAGTGAACAGCTCCATGGCATGGATTCACTGTTGGCATAACTTAGAAAGAATAATTGCTTCATCATGGCCGCACGGAGACGCGAAAGCCTGTCTTTTGCTGCTCATCGCGTCCCGTTCTATGCTATTAATAAAGTCGTCAGCGACTAGATGGGTGGGTCATCAGGTTTAAATTTTGGAGTCAGGCAGGTTGTAAATCAGCCAACATCTGTATATTGAACGTGCAGGCCAACGTTCCTGCGCAAAATTCATGATCCCTGTACCGCTTAACTGTGAGATCTGGCATGCATGAGTCTCCGGAATACTAAGTGTCTGCTAGCCCAGCCACACTATGCTTCTGGGAACGCAACAAAAGGGCTGAGTGAGTAAAGCAGGTTTAACACCCAAAGGAGGTTTCCTGTTGCATACTCAGTTGCACTTTCCACATCAAAGGACACAACAATGAGAAGTGACGCCTGGATCTCAGCAGCAGGGGTCCTGGCGTCAATGTCCCACGTAGTCAGCGCTTCGGTCCAGCTCCGTTTCTATCATCGCGAGTGAATAGGAATTGGAAAGGAATTAAACTGCTCTGCTTTTTAAAACAGATCCAGCGGGTAAAATGTGCGAGACACGCCACAGGTATAGCCACCATCACTACCACGTCAGAATGCAAAAGGGCATAAACAGCTGCACTAGCTTTAACAGTGTCAACTCAGGGCTTCCGTCTCGCCAAAGTTTACCTCAGCACACCATCTGTCTCCATCGCCCGGAGAGCAATCGTCCAGAGCCGTTATCAGCGGCCGCACTCAGGCGTTGTGCTGGGCCATGCCCGTCTCCCAGTCCGCGCTTGAGCTGGCCCCCGCCGGGCCGGGTCGGGCCTGCTGGCCCGCCCTCGCCGCCGCCCTCCAAGGCGCCGGTGCCGCTATTGATCGCCGGCTCGGGGCGCAGTGCCGCGTGCGGTATCATGCTACACATACGAGCCGCGCGCAATCGATGTGCCACCGTGACCCCGTCGACCATCGCCCATCAGCGGCACGCATTGTCTCTCCAATGGCCGGCCATCGCATCCACCACGCCCCCCGCCAGGTCACGAAGGCGCCGCCGATTGGCCGCGATCTTTTTACGGGGCTGGGTTTCATCGCGAGGCCGCGTGCGAGAAGCCCGCTGCCGGTTTTTATGGCGTTCCCGGCCGACCCGGGTCTCTCCGGGAAGGCACATGGTTCCGGAAGAGACCGCTGCGCCTGGGAGCTTCTGATTTAGTCCGTCTTGTCAGGCCTTTGCCATGTCTGAACCTCTTGGGACTTCTCCCAATAAAGAGCGGTGACTAAAATAAGAGCACCACACTTATGGTCTTGACCACAAATTTTTGACCTAGTGACGATCGCTACAAAACAAACTGGATAAAACAACTACACAACTCTGAAAACGCTATGCCTCAAAATAAATAGAAGCCCCTAGAGTTGAAAGGCCGATGTAAATTTTTGGTTCTTCCTGTTAACGTCCATAGGGCCAACATAAGAACCTCAAAAAGTTATGGGTTAAGCCCCCCCCCCCCCCCCCATCCCCGGCACTCTAGTTTCTACACCTCTGCTGCACCCTGCAAAATTTGAACGAATAAGGTTTTGATGAGCACTTTTTTGAAAAACACTTTCAAAACAAAATTTGAAGAGGTCCCTGACGACCCTGATATCGGAAGAAGTTTCCTGTGGAACTGTGCAGGAAGTATATACATCAGGAATGCATTAATGCATACAGCATCTGCAGCCTATTAGATCAAAGGTGGCACTGGTTTTCCACCCGTTTACAGATCCACAAAGAAGTCGAAGCATTGGTGCGCGTAACATGCTCGATATCGCCCTTAAAAAATCTGCCCTTTCGAATATAGACATGTTTCACGAAGACGTTCACAAGGCTAGAAGAAAATGGTGCACATCATTTGGGCAGTGTGATGTCGCTGACGACTGGGTCGCATAGCAGCGTAATGTAACTTATCATTGTTACACTGCGTTAATGCGAAGGTTGCGGATACTGTACCGCAGGAACCCCGCAATGTAAAAATCTCCTGCAGGTACATACAAACACCATCTTTAGACATTACAATGGGTATACAAAAACTTGAGCTCGACTTCGGTGAACACGAATCGCCATTGACTCAGACGTACTGCACACATATTTGATTTCGACACCGACTGCAGCTTGCCTTATAGTTTGTAGCCGACCTAACAGCTGACTCCGGCTGTCTACAAATACATGAAGCGCAGTCTGGCCGGGACTCACGGGAGCTGTGCGTAGTTTCCGAGCAGACCTCAGGGAAGACGACACGAATTGCATCTTGTTATGCTTTGCCTGGAACGCTCATTTTTACATTGCATGTGACGTCGCGTAGCTTAAGCCGTTATCATTGGGCAAAATCGGTATGAGCTTATTTCATTTCAAGAACTTGTATAAAACACCCAGCTTACAGCACCTGGCAGCTCCATCCAGCGCATCCCCCATCTCCAGACGCCATCGAGCTTTATATGCATATATATATATATATATATATATATATATGTATATCACATTTTATATCCTCATGGGAGTGTCCCGTCTCACTTCATCAGCAATGCCATCAAAAAGCTAAAATTCCAACTTCTTATCAGCGAGCTTAAATCTTATGCATGGTGGGACAGTATACCTACATACATGATGAATCCTTTGATGTGATTTGTACAACTGCCAAGGAGTAGGACGAATCAAAGAGTAGAAGAAACAGTGTGGGCCGCTCTGTTGTTGCTTTTTTGTACTAGGATATGAGTCAGGACGTGCGATCAGGGAGTCATACGCTGCATGCGTGCGTACAACATGATTGGTGCAGTTCAACCGACACGATTGGTGCAAATCAACTGGTGCAATCTGCAGATACCTTGTCTGGATGGGTAAATAAAAAACTAAGATTGCGGTCGCATCTGCCGATATGCCCCACTGTCTTCACGAAGCCGGAAAATCTCACTGTGAGTTTGGAACTAATATCGCAGATCGTAACTGCAACTGTATTGCCCGTCGTCCGGTGACATTGCCAGGATCTTCATAAGCGGCTTAGCCATAGCGGACTGAAATGTACAGCAAGCACATGATAAAGGTACGAGTCGTCTACAAAGAACCCAAGACTGGTCTCATTCATGCCAGCGCTGGAAGACACAGACTGCACATTTTCACATTGTCATGGGTGCCATTGAAGGATGAAGCATTGGTAATAGCTTTTAAGCAAACTATGACATCTATGTGCTAATTGTTCATGTCAGAGTTCTGAAGATTTCCAGAATATTGAATTCAGTAGATGGTTCAGTTGGGCCTTTCCGCATCAACTTTATTTGGATCAACATCATGCGTGTTTAGTTGACAAAGGAGACCGCTGTGTAATCACGATTTCCGGACATGCTACTTGCCTACAAGATGTGGCTATAAGCATCTCAAAACTCACATCGTTACGTCGCACGTTATCGTCGTATATTTTGCAATAATTTCAGCAAGCCCGGCATATTTTGAAGACAAAAACACATGTCCGTGATAATGCATTCAATGCGTGTAAAATCTACACAGTACAATCATTTTCGGATCTACCATTTCGCTTTTGCTTGATTCTGGCCCTTGACTATGCTGCCTTTGTCCTGCATGCAATAAAATTGCGAATGTCGGTGTAGTGGCGCTATGGTCTTCAGGTGACGTGTCCCGGCTGAACAGGGCAAACGCGCGCAAGCGACTTAATCAATGCAGAACGTTGCAATAAGCAAATGGCGGCGGGACTCGATTATTCAAGCGTGCAACATACCTTTATTGCTGCGCAGTCATTTCCTTGCGGTTGTGCAACATCGTTTAACATGAAATATGGAATACATAGTCCATGCAGGTTACCATGTACCTAAGCAGTTTTGTCGTGTTTTAGTGTCGGCGACAAAATCGACCGCATAAGTATATTCGTGCACCTGACATTATTTCACCTAGATTGAAATTCCTTTCGGTGCGGAAAAAACGTTTCTATTCCTTTGGAAACCACGAGATACTACACTTCTGGAAAGCTGTTATAGTGGATACAAGCGAGGTGCTCTGTAGCATACATGATTTCACTCGCAATAACGATGCCCACCGAGATCAACTTGAGCACTCAGGTACTGTCCTATTCAATAATCTAAAATAAGAAACCATCAGGTGCCGCTCGGTACGCCTTCTCACTCGACCACTGTTGGGAAATCAGACGCGGCGAGTGATTGTGAACACACGAACACACCGACGCTATGTGGCCCGCGGACCGAAGCGCCTTCACTCTCGGGTGACCGGACGGCACGGATTCCACGAACAGAAGTCATACTGACTCCGGAATGATCGGCACAGCAGTGGGAGCGGCACTCCAGGCAAAGGGATTCTGTACCATGCACGGCTATGTGGCCTGCATTAAGGCTGAGAGTCGTGTGTCATTGTGTCAAGGTGCGCATTCTTTAGTCATAGCCGATTCTGTGAAAGTAGTTTTCGCACAGCTCACTCGCTGCTATCCCTTCGTAAATAAGCAATACCGGCATGCCTGGATTGACTGAGACTGTTGACATATGGGGTACCGTGAGCTTGGCAAAACTTGTGCACCATCACCTTCAGTTCACGGACTCATGCTGAATATCAGCCAAGCTCAGAGTCCAGCCGCCTTGAGACAGCACACCGACTGGGCAGCGAGGGAGCGACGGGAGGAACGCTTCACATCCACTTATTACATCCAGCCTCGACAACGTTTTGTCCACGTCCAAGATCAATGGGTGTCCTTTTGGACGTGCCCTCCTGCTCTCGGTGACACCGTTTCCGCTGGTACCTGACAAACACCTCCTCGGCCCGAGAGCGGCGGCACTCACCGCGTGACTCCCGTGGGCCTCGTCCGCCTCCCGCCGGGGTCAGCAGGGGTCACTGTGCCGCCGGGCGAGGGCCAACATCGGCTCGACGCACGGAGTGTGCCGTGCAGCGCGGCCCCACGCCGCCGGCCGCCGGTCGACTGGCGGCGTCGTCGCGTCGATCGCAGCTAGACACGCCCGTCGACACCGACGCGTGACGTCACCGACACGTGACGTCACCGGCGTGGCGTCGCCGGTGGATACCTGCCTCGGACGCCAGCCACGGTCGGTCTTCAAGCGCTGGGCTGGATACCAACGAGGGCCGACTCTGCCGAGCAGGATGCGAAAGTGGCTACCTTTTAACTCGGTTGCGGCTCGCTGAAGGTGCTAGCGCGCGGAACGGCGCCGGGTTCGGGCCGGGCGGGACGCTGCGGTAGGGTGTGGTTCACTCTGAGTGAGACCTGGGTCGGTCGGCTTCAGTGGTCCGCAGGCCTCTGGCGGATGGGTGGGAGTCGAAGAAGGTGTGCCAGATAGTCCAAGAATTTGTGAGGCGCTGGCACAGTGCAAAAGTTTGTTGATGAAGCCACAGGGTTGAGTTCCCTTTGGATGATAATGTTGATGTACCACATTTGATTTGTCCTAGGCATTTCACCGATTTCTCTAACAAAGATGACTTTAGGTCCGAAGACATTGCTACGCACAGCATGCCACTATGGTCTGGACACCATCATTCCAGTAATGCCATTCAACTTCAACAGATGTGAGTAGGACAGCCCCTAAGACTCCCGGTGATTCAGCATTGCGAGTTACCAAGCTAAGAGCAGCCGACCTTCAATGTACAGGAGTGATTACCAAGCTGAAAGTAGCCGACCTGCAGTACACAGGAGTGATTACCAAGCTGAGAACAGCAGACCTTCAGCATACATGAGTGATTACCAAGCTGAGAGTAGCTGACGTGCAGTATACAGGAGTGATTACGCAAATGAATCAAACATCATTGCGATGTACATGTTACGAGAATAATCGGTCTTTCTAGCAAAGTTCATGTTCAAGGATGAACATGGTGAACAAGGTTAAGAAAGGATCTTTTGAAAATCCCTAAACCGAGTGCAAGATAGAAAATGTGCAGTAAAACCCTTGCGAATATAAAAGGTGCCAAATAATCAGTCGATCAACCTCCCCCATCCCAACACTTGACGCACGGGGCTGTCCATGTTACCGCAAATCACCAACGCCACTGACGCGCACTAAAGGAGCTGTGCTAAGGGCTACCCGAAACACAGACGGCCAAGCCCAAAGGTTTCCATAAACCATGTCGGGTGTCCGGTTGGAAAGTAACTTGCTTAAGGACATCAGTGTTCAAAACCACTGCCAGCGAATTATCTATAAGCGAACATGACCTGAAAAACGCCGGTCAAATTACGTCCGAGGACGACATTGGTGGATTTAGCCTCGGACGCAGGTTACAGGCATGCAGCGACTCTAATCCCTTGAGATCCCCTTTGTCGTGCGCTGTTGCGAGAATTCATGTCTCAAACTTGGTGCTTGGTATACTGTTTTCCATTCCCACTGGTCTGTCTACCGTGTGTCCTTTCCGGTGGTGTGCGCTTTCGCCATAAACGTGCTTCACAGAAGGCACACGGTTTTCGACATTTGACTGACATTTTGCTTCACACAAAGCAGGCTCAGATGGTGTGATTGCCGCGTGCATCTCGGACCACGTGCTCACGATCGAGCACTAGTGCAGAACGTAGCACAGCAGGCTTCCTTGCAGCCAGAACGCTGCGCAGCGGACCGAGACAAAGAGAGAAACAACCTCATGTGTAGACAGCCAGCCTAATCGATTGGGCAATCCAATAGGTCATCACATTTTCGTCGACGTGAGATGACCTTGGCGGCGAGGTCAAAGATATTCTGCAGTTTTGAGATATTTGAACGATTTACACCACCATGCACTCGGATACAATAGCGTACAGTGGTAGAGAACCAGGACGTTGATAATCCTGGGTAACGCGGATGGAGGCGCGCACGCATGCACACACGCACGCACGCATGCACGCGCACACACGTACAAAAACACACGCAAACACACACACACACACACACACACACACACACACACACACACACACACACACACACACACACACACACACACACACACACACACACACACACACACACACACACACACACACACACACACACACACACACACACACACACACACACACATACTTTGGCTGAGATTTTGAAAGCTTTAAACGTGGGGTGGTCAGCCTCCTATAAAAATTTTATTCATTTTAGATCCTAGGACTATTTTGATGAATTTCTTCTCAGTAGATTCCTCTTTCAAGCATATGACAAATTACCTTTAAGCCACCAATTGACTGTTGCATACGAGTCTTGCTATACCTCGTGCGAGGCATCCTACATTGGTTCCTATTTTCGAAACCTGCATGACTGCTTTCAGTAGTATTTTAGGAAAATCTATCCAAAAGGGAAAATGACTTGCAAAACCTAATCCCAGCCCCATACGAGGGCGTTTATTTACATGTGACACTCCAGTTTTGGCTCCCAAATCTAGTGTCTTGGACAGGATACATCTCCTAGTTGATTTGAGAACCTTTGAGTCTTCATACACTTTTAAGACACGTCTAGCGCTAAAGATCATGACTTCGTCATATCCATTGGAAAAAGTGGGAACATGAAATCTGCCTGTAGAGTTGGGATGGGTCGGGTGTCACTGCATATGCCTGCATTTTATTTTGTTCGCGTCGTGTGCGCATGGTTAACTATCACCAGTACACCGAACGTCATGCCTATGCATCGTTCACAAACAAAGTGTGCGCCAGCACACTGTACGTGTGCGTTTTTTTCGCTTTTTTGTCTGACGATGCAGCCGTTGTTAACTGTGAAACGCGTGGTGTGCTAGTTGCAAGAGAGAGAGAAAGAGAGAGGGAGAGAGAAAGAGAGAGAGAGAGAGAGAGAGAGGGAGAGAGAGTGAGAGAGATGCATATATCTAACTATAATATGCACGCACTAGTTGTCGGAAATGACAGCAAATCTCTTATGCCACATTTTGTTCTTCAGATTCCTGATGTTACGAACACACTTTCTCTTTTATGGCTCAGTGAGATGCGAAGCATCACCAAAAGTATGTGACATTTCATCCGACATAGGACATCACCAGACAATCAAAAGTAAGCACAATATCAAGATAACACTTTAGTATGGTTAGACTTCCACAATGCTCAGAAAAAGCACAGTAGGACATAAATTCGGTAAAGGCCGATCACAGGGAAGACTCGCAATGAATCGATCACAGTAGCTGAGATAAAACTGTGATAAACTCGTTAAAGAGAGTGTTCCAGATCTATACGGAGTTTTTAAACTGAAATAGCCATCTTCAAGATGGTTCGGTGCAGTTTACTGCCCTGTCCTTCTTACGACCTGAACGTTTCTGGTTCCTGAGCGCACTGCCCGCGAATATGTGCAGACTGCTCCGAGGAGGCTCAAGCATCCACGACGCCATAATAACGTTATTCAAATCCTGTCAGTTCATTGGCCATGCGGCAGATAAGGCCAAGAACAATATCATTGTCGAGTCGTTCATACTTGGAGTTCGTGAGAACGATTTCCAGATATAACGGTCGTCCATTTGTCGTCAATCAATGTTGCGCAAGCCCCGATGGCTTGATTTAGCAATTATTTATTGGGGAGAGTATTTACTTGACACAAAAATTGTGGTGTCTGGGGCAACCTTTCCAATTCAAGGTATTTTAATAGTTGTACGTGAGTGTATTTTTTTCACATCTGACGCTTGCCTCAGTGTCTTCAAATATGAGTTATTTTCTTCAAAAATTATTTAAGGAACCCTCAGAAGGGAAAATCCATTCGCCAGCACCAGTAGGTTTGCGGTGCACATCCGTCACAAAAGATCCGTTACTTAGATCAACATCGGTGTCAATATATGGTATACGGTCGTCGACACCCATGTTAGTTCTAAGTCGTGATAACGACTGCCGCTGCAAAGCGGTCTGCAGTTTGTGAAGGTGGGCCTCGTTTCCGGCACCAACAAATATATCATCGGCATATGTGCACAAAATATATGTGGTTTACGGCTCAGGTTTTAGGTGATATGGTTCTCCAGCCATCACATGTACATATTCGCAAACAAGCATCCGAGCGGTGACCACAATGCGAAACCACTCATTTCAATTACTTGACGGAAGAGTTTTCCGTTTGGACAACAGAAGGATGCCTTTGTGGTGCAGCATCGGAACATCTTTTTTCGAAGATGAATCGTGACAGTTTCAGTGGTGGCAAGATTGGGTGATTATAGACGCAGTCCAGCACAATCTACCTTGTTTCATCAGCTGACAGCTTGGCGAACAGACTTTCTGCGCCCAATGAAACAATTACCAGCGGGATTGCTAGACCTGACAATTTCAATGAGCTCTTCTGCCGGTTTAATGCTGCGCTCTGTTGGCTTGTAGGGTTCAGTAATGCTACTTAAAGTTTTTGCCAGCTGGCAGGTGGACGTGGGGGCTTTGAAACAAAGCTGGCCCCCCGCGGTTGTCCGTTTTATGTGTCCTTTCGTTACCATAGGCATAACCAGGGCTATAATCACCTGTGGCCTTTGCGGAGTGCTGCCCGCCCACTAGGGCATTTGCCGCGGTGATCAGGCTGTTGACTTCCATAGCGTGGCTTTTGGTTAGATCCCTCGTAATGCGGGCAAATTTGGCGGTGTTAGAAACGGGATGGCGCATTTTGTTCAGATAGGAAGCTTTGCACACGATGGCAAAGAAGCTGGAGTTACGTGCCATTCTTATGAAGATCTCTTCATTATTTCTCAGTTCTTGAGCTGCTAAACGCAGGTCCGCATCCAACAACTTGCTCTTGTAGTAGTTTCTGATCTTTGTGCTTTCACCAACCGGCTGGGCTTTCAGGATTGGGCTGACGGTTGCCTTGTTTTCCTGGTTGGGGTTCAGGACATCTTGATATAATAGCTCTAATTCGGCCTTCTTCTCCACGTGATCAAATTTTGATTGGATATGGCATTTAAGACCTAAGCTAAGCAGCTCCTTCTTGTTAGCAGTAACCTCAATAGAAGACAAATTGATAAACCCTTCTTTGGCGTCG